TTCTTATTGAAAGATGCCTTCCTGTGTGTAAGAGATCAATGAGAGCATTTAGTGCTAGTGGGGTGCATTGGGTGTGTACCAGAAGGTCAGGAACTTGGAGCTGCTTTCCTGTGCCCCCACCCCGGCTCTGTACAATGCAGTTGGCTTCCGCTTGACAATTAGAGAGCTTTCACTAATTGGACAGAAATTCTTGTATAAAAGGCAGTAGGCTCTGTGATCTTAGGGAAGAAATTCAGTGTCTCAGCTGCCTTGACATTAAGTTGCTAAAATTGCAAGTTCCTGCTAGGAAGAGAAGAGTACTAAAATAATGGAAGATTTGTTTTATTGGCAATTTAGGATGCAGAGTATTTTATTTTTAAGCTTCTAAAGTTTTTTGTTGGTTTTTGCTTTATGAGACAGGGTCTCACTAAATATTTCAGGCTGATCTTGAATTCGTTATATAGCCCAGGCTGACCTTGCAATGACCCTTCTGCCTCAGTCTCCTGAGTGCTGGGATTACACACATACACTACCCATGCCTGGCTAAACTTCTAAATTTTGAAAATGAGACAGCAAAGTTTAAGTAATATAGCTTTCCAAAGCTGAGTGTTCTCATGTAGAGCTCAGTTTTTTTGCATGAAATTCAAAAACAACTTTCTAAAATTTCTGGCTGGGAATGGGACTATTCTGACAACCTGTGACTAGATGAACTGATCAGCCTCAGTTGTTAGCATTCCTTTTTTTCTCCTCCTTGGTAAGGCCTTAAAAAACTTCAGGTGCTTTGTTCTAGTCATACACTGGCGACTCAATTCCAAATGTCTCCTGAGAGGCACACGCCACATACAGGAAACTGGCTTTATCCTTCTCCTTTCGTACACCTCTGTGATCAGCACACTCGCCATGCCAAGACGAAGAAGGCTTGGTTCTCACCCTTGCATTGTTCTGTGATCACCAGGATCTCGGTGGGATGCTGCTCTCAGGTGAATTAGAAGTCTTCTACTCCTTGTTCAGAGAAGGGGAGCTGCTTGAAGGTCTTCTCTGTCAGCACTGGGCAGGTGGTCCTGGGGGCAGCGGTAGCTCAAGGGCTGTCTTGCCAGTTTTGAAGCAATTCTGGAAGTCCTCTTTTGTGATTGTGTTTGGCTGCACTTTCATGGTTGCCTTGACGTTCTGAATCGATTTGAAAGGTTTACCTTTCATGATCATTTTGGCTTTGGGAATGAAGCAGCAGTCTCATGGTATCAGATCCAGTGCTTAAGTTGGATGAAGACACTAAAGTTTTTTATAACTCTCCTTTCCATTGGATGTCACTTGGCATTTTTTTTTTAAATCATACCTCATGAAAGAGAGCTTCCAGAATTGCTTCACAAAGTGGCAAGAATGATGGCATAAGTATTTTTGAAGAGGAGGAGTATTTTGAGGGGTATTAATGGCGATATGTTTACTGTAATAAAAATTTTAAAATGTAAACATTCACTATATATGCCAGTCATCCTTTTTATATGCTCCTTTAAAGAATGCAACTATTACAAAAATATTCCTCTCCCCAGCTATACCAAGGTTAGCACTGCTGACATGTAGAATGTGGGTTAAATATCTCTAATCCAAAATTCTAAAATCTGGAATGCTCCCAAATCTGGTACCTTTTGAGCCCAGCATGATGGTGCAGGTGGAAAATTCTACATCTAAACCAGGCGTGGTGGTGCACACCTGTAATCCTGGCACTCAGGAGGTTGTGGCAAGAGGATTACTTAAAGTCAAGGCTAGCCTGGACTACAAAGTGAGTTCAAGGCTAGCCTGAACTGCATGTGAGACCCTGTCTCAAAAAGACAAAAAATAAAAATAAAGAAAGAAAAAGAAAATTCCACATCTGACTTCATGTGAGTCAAAACACAGACACACTAAAAATATTGCATAAAATTATCTTTAGGTTACATGTACAATATATATGATTTTTATTATTATTACTTGGTACCAGTAATTGAACTTAAGACTTTGAGCTTGCCAGGCAGGCACTGTGCCACTGAGTTATATCCCTGGATCTATATAAGATATATATATATACATATATATATATTTTTTGTCTTTTTGAGATAGTGTCTTGCTATGCAATTCAGGCTGACCTTGAGCTCACTTTGTAGTCCAGGCTGGTCTTGATCTCGAAATGATCTTCCTACCACAGCCTTTTGAGTGCTGTAATAGGCGTGTGCCACCATGCCCGGCTTTGTATAAGATATATTAAACATAAATGAACTTTCTATTTAGACATGAGTCCTAGATCTAAGATACCTTGATGAGTACAGTGCACATGCCTATAATCCCAGAGCTTAGGAGTCTGAGGCAGGAGGATTGCTACAAGTTCAAGGCCAGTTTGGGCCACTCAGTAAGTTCAAGGCCAACCTGAGCTGCATAGTGAGACTGTGTCTCAAACAAAACAAAACAACCCCAAAAATCTCATTATATATGTATACACTCCAAAATTCAAAAAATCCCAAATCTAAAATACCTCTGGTCCCAGGCATTGCGAATAAAGCACACTCAGCCTCTACTGTCCTCCAGTTGCCTTTTTTCTGGGCCTATTTGCCTACATACATATATGGATTGGGGGAGTAGAACATTTTGGTTCCAGAACTTCTTTCTTCATGCAAACAGATCATAGTGTGGTTAGCTTTTATTTTTTTACATCTGCAGATGACTCATGTAATGAACTCCTTCATGTAATGGTTCCTTGCTGATGGCCCAAGACCATTTCTAAATTTCTTGTTTCTGCCCTAGAGAAAAAGCTCCCCTCAGCTCGCCCACCTGGCCCAGCCTACCTCACAGAGCGAATGAGCAAGGACAGTTCATTGTCACAGGACAGACCACATTCTCTCATGTAGTTTCTTTCTCTGCAAATTGCTTCTCCACATCTTGTCCATGAGGATAACTTTATAGATGATGCATTCTGATATTTGTGCCTGGTCAGGCAGACTTGGGGGCCCCTTCATGGAGTGTGTGGGTGTTGGGCAGCCTGGGATCAGTGTGTGGGCTCCTCCCCTAGTTGGCTGCCTGGCTGTTGTTCATAGGAATGGTGGTGATGTGTCATGCGTGTGGTTACAGGGCAGCAGATATGACCTCCTGCAACCTCTGGTGATTGGGAATGTGAGCTGGGATGGAAATGGAAAGTTTTAAGCCCTGGCTTTGCAGCTGAGAGTAGGAAGTTCTCCCCTGACCCCCAGGGCTCAACTCCCTACTGAGCTCCAGTTGCTCAGCCTGAACTGTGCCCATTACAGTCCATTTTGCGGTCCCCTGAGGAACAGGTTGCCACATTCAGACCAAATCTCCCCATAAACAAACCAGTAAGAACAACAAACATCCCAAGATGCTCTGTTAAAAATAAAAGTTGACCATTTGACCCAGCTGTTCCCCTTCTTGGCATCTTCTCAAAAGAATTAAAAGCATCATGTCACAGTGATATATGTATACAGCACAGTTTGTTTATTTTGGTGGTAGTGGGGATTGAGCTCAGGGCCTGGTACATGCTAGGCAAGCACTCTACCACTGAGCTACATCCCTAGCCCTAGGAGTACAGTTTATAATAGCTAAATCTTGGAAACAATCCATATACCTATCAATTGATGAACGGATTTTTAAAAAGATGTGGTTTTTAAAAAATACAATGGAGTACTAAACAGTCATAAAGAAGGATAGAATTGAGACATTTATAGCTAAATGGATAGACCTTAGACCATATTCTTCTGAAGTTTTTTTTTTTTTTTTTTTTTGGTACCAGGGATTGAACTCACAACCTCAGGTTTGCTAGGCAGGCGCGTAAGCTGCTGAGCTAAATCCCCGGACCTTAGACCATACTCTTAAATGAAATAAATAGGACACAACACACATATGTAAATATTGCATTGTCTCTCTGGTATAAGAAACTGAAAGTATAAATGAGAACAAAAATGTATAATAGATATTGGGAAATAGGAAGCAATTGTTCATAGGAGAGAAAACTGCAGACAGGGGAGGGGAAAAAGGAAGGAGAAAAAAAGCTAAAATGAATACAAAGCTTTATGAACAAGAAGGAGAAGAAAGGTTAAAGGGAGGGGAGGAGAATGCAAAAAAACAGGAACTAAGATATCATGTACAGGTACAAGTCCCTGATGATGCATGTGACCATTATGTCTATCTAAATTGCACCAATTAATTTAATTTAAAAAATGAAGATTGAATAACTTTTAGTGTAAATATATCCCATGTAATATTTAAGATAGACATATGCAATTAACAAAATTTTTATTTGTCGTTTGCCTGAAATTCACATTTACCTGGACAACCTGCTGTGTACGCACACGGAGACCTGGGCGACTGTGTGGCCAGAACCTTCTTCCCAGCTCTAACCTCCGTTTCCCGTCTGCTACCCCTACTGACCCCAGGGGTGTAGAGTACCAGGACAGTCTCTTCTTTTCCTTTTTATTTAAAAAGCATTTCATTACAAACCCTAAAAGGTCTAAAAATAAGGTAATGAACATTCATGTCCTCACCAACCAGTTTAAAATTTAAAATGAAATGATTTACCAGAATCTTCTGCTATTCCCCATCTCTCATTGAGCTGATTTTTAATTTTAAATGTTTTAAAAATTATTTACTTACCTTTGAGACACTGAGGATTGAACACAGAGCCTTAACACTGAGCTACATCTCCAAACCTTTTTGATTTTTATTTTAATTCAAGGTTTTGCTAAATTACCCCAACCTGGGCCAAAAATTGTGATCCTCCTGACTCAGCCTTCCAGAGTGCTGGGGTTCCCGGTGTGTACCACCACACCTGCTGGACACCTTTGTATTTCTATTCCTGTAGCTGTCTCTCTCCAGGTGTCTGTCTCCCTGCCTCTCCAGCGACTCTCACCCCTGTCTGGATCTTGCTTGGCGGCTGGGGGTGGTGGTGGTGGTCCTCAGAGCTGCCAAAGTCAGGTCCCCGCTTTTAGGCTAAAGCTCCCTCAGGCCAGCGTCTTAACATGTAACTACTCTGTGCTGCCCTCCAGGTACCTGAGATGCCACCGCTGCCAAAGAAGCGCTGGGAGTCCATGGCCAAGGGGCTGGTGCTGGGTGCTCTCTTCACCAGCTTTCTGCTGCTGCTCTACTCCTACGCTGTCCCCCCCCTGCATGCTGGCCTGGCCTCCACGTGAGTAGTGGGATTAGGCACCAAACGGTGGGGTGGGGGAGACCCCACAGTTATTGAAGCACTTGCCCTGATCACCTGCCCACCTACCTCACAGGCTGCCACTGTGTGCCCTGCACCACACTATGTTACGCAGAGGTTCTAGGACTGAGGGCCAAACCCGTGTTAGTACCCTGGGACACAGGGTGCCCATCTGTAAAGTGAGGGTAAGAAAGCCCCCTCATGGGATGCGTAAATCACACAAAATCTGTGTCTAGGGTTTGGATATCATCCTTTAGGCTCCAGCGGGGCCACTGTGGGGCATGACTTGCCAAGCGCACCCAGCTATCAAAGAGCCAGGATTCAAACTGGGGCCCGTGTGAGCCCAGCCCTGGCTGCTAAACAGCAGGCCATCCTATCTCAACATGCAGCTGCTTAGTGTAGACTGGGCACAACCTGTGCCTTTAGTTGGTGGTGTTCAGTTTAACTGGAGGAAACTGCTAATGGCTGGACATTTTTGGGCTGCAAAATGCAATGTTATGTGGTCCAAACCAGTGCTGCTTTAGAATAAGCAGATGACACAGAGACCCTGAATGCGGCAGAGCCTCTGTGCCTCAACTAACTTTGACCTTATGCCAACACCACAAATAGGACCTGTTGTTTTCCCTACTTCACAGATGAGGAAACTGAGGCCAGAGAGGCCAGATCACTGGCTCAAGCCTCCAGCCTGGACTCAGGCCCAGCTGGTACCTCCACAGCCCCAGCAGCTCCTAACACTCTTCCCCCACACTCTGTCCTCAGCAGGACCCCAGAGGACATGGCCCCCTGCTCCCCTTCCCCCAGCGAGTCTGAGCTGGTGAACCCTGCCCGCGGTTCAGCCAGAGAGTGCCAGCCCCAGCGAGACATCGTGTTCATGAAGACGCACAAGACAGCCAGCAGCACTCTGCTCAACATCCTGTTCCGCTTTGGCCAGAAGCACAGGCTCAAATTTGCCTTCCCCAGTGGTCGCAACGACTTCGACTACCCAGCCTTCTTCGAGCGCAGCCTGGTGCAGGATTACCAACCCGGGGCCTGCTTCAACATCATCTGCAACCACATGCGCTTCCACTACCAGGAGGTGCGAGGCCTGGTGCCACCCAACGCCACATTCATCACTGTGCTCCGTGACCCTGCCCGGCTCTTCGAGTCCTCCTTCCACTACTTTGGGTCTGTGGTGCCCCTCACGTGGAAGCTCTCAAGCCAGGACAAGCTGGCTGAGTTCTTGCAGGACCCAGATCGCTACTATGACCCCAACGGCTACAATGCCCACTACCTCCGCAACCTGCTCTTCTTCGACCTGGGCTATGACAGCAGCCTGGACCCCAGCAGCCCTCAGGTAGAGGAGCATATCCTGGAGGTGGAGCGCCGCTTCCACCTGGTGCTCCTCCAGGAGTACTTCGATGAGTCTCTGGTGCTGTTGAAGGACCTGCTCTGCTGGGAGCTGGAGGACGTGCTGTACTTTAAGCTCAATGCCCGTCGAGATTCTCCTGTACCGCGGCTCTCTGGGGAGCTCTACCGCCGCGCCACTGCCTGGAACATGCTGGACGCACGCCTCTACCGCCACTTCAATGCCAGCTTCTGGCATAAAGTGGAGGCCTTTGGGAGGGAGCGTATGGCCCACGAGGTAGCCGCCCTGCGCAGTGCCAATGAGCACATGAGGCGTATCTGCATAGATGGAGGACAGGCAGTGGACGCAGCTGCCATCCAGGACTCAGCCATGCAGCCCTGGCAGCCACTGGGCACCAAGTCCATCCTGGGCTACAACCTCAAGAAGAGCATCGGCCGGCGGCACGAGCAGCTCTGCCGTCGCATGCTTACCCCTGAGATCCAGTACTTAATGGACCTGGGAGCCAACCTCTGGGTCACCAAGCTCTGGAAGCTCATTAGGGACTTTCTGCGGTGGTAATATCCATCCTGGTGCTGGCCTCCCCTGACTGCTCCTGGTGCCACCCTGGACTCCAGGGTGAGTGGGGCTTCCGTGGGGATATAGCTGGCCAGGACTGGGCCCATGGCACACAGAAAGGGCCTCATTGATATCAGTATTTGACTAATAGCATTTTTTATTAAACCCCCTGCCCTGTTTCCTGCCTCCCTTGGGAGGAGAGACCTCAGAAGTAAAGGAAGTTGATGTTGTTTTTCTTAATCAGCCTCCATGGTGGTGAATGGAGGGGCCCTGGGATGGGAGACCCCAAGTGATCCCTGTGGGAGGGTTCTGTGGGACAGAGCCCAAGGTGGGACAGGAGCCCAGTGTGTATGTTATATGTGGTTCAGGGGCTCCAGCAAAATTCCAAGATCTACCTCCTCGCCTCTCCTCCCTGCCCTTCCATCTCTGCTCCCCTCCCATCTCCTCTTCTCCCCTTCCTGTCTTTCCTCTTCCTTTTCCTCCCCCCCCCCCACAACTCCCCTCCATTGGTTCTGTACCTGGTGCTAGACCAGTGCTTTGTGGGCACTTCAGTTTATCCTCACCAAAACTCAGTGGCTTGAGGACTGTTGTTATCTCGTACTCGAGGTAAAAAAGGGAGCTCAGAGAGAGAAAAATCACTGGGCTAAGATCACACAGTAAGTGGTAGGATTGGGGCAGGGATGTGGTATGTGGAAAGTGGTCAGAGCAGGCAGTGTGTGTGTGTAACAGGAAAGTGGGTGGGGTAGTGGGCACCGGGCCCTCAGTCCAGACCAAGGACTTCCTATACTATCTCACTAATCCTCATATTCAGACTTAGCTAGAGCTAGAATACTGATAAGGCGGTTCCTCCTTCCCTTGGGCAGAAAAGCTCTGAGGGGCATGTTTCACTCCAGTCCCCCAAACCCCCCGCTGGCATTGAACACTTTACTTTCTCACTAACCCTCAAGTACAGCCACCTCCCATTCTTTGCCTCCATTCCTCACTTGCCTACTTCTGTTTCCTGTGCTTACCTCCCAAAGAAACTCCTTAACCTGAATTCCTTGTGTCCTTGACCTGGAGCGCCCTGCCTAGGTCAGGTACACATTGTGCACCAGGCCCCTGGCACACACAGAGATCACAAGGGTGTGGTGGGGCCAGATGTAACCTGGAGTTTTCCATCACCTCTCACCCCAGCCTCCAAGAAGATGTGACTCAGCTCACAGGCACATATACACCTGCTTGGTTGGAGCCTGCAAAGTTTCTTCCTCAACACTGAAGCCACATGTCCACACAGCCATGATGAATCATGGGTGGTGGCTCTGGATCCATCAGGTGACAGATAGAGCCTGGGCCACAGTAGAATACAAGGCATAATATGTAAGTGTGATGGATACTTAAAGTTTTAAAAATTTATTAACAGTAAAAAACTTTGCCATTCATGCCTCAAAACACTCCCCCTTTCTTTGAACACATTCATTCAGTAGTTCTTGCCACTTTTTAAAAATTTTTTATTTTAAAGGGGGTAAAATTAAACACAACGATACAGAACAAAATAAGACATAAGAAAGCAATGTAAAAAAAAAAGAGCAATGTAAGAGATATAAATTTCAAAGCTAGATGACCTGAGATCTTCACTGTCTATCATATTGTCTCTTGTTTTCTTCCAAATAGTTGTCCATGTCTTTGCATACAGAGAATTCATACAAAACAACATAATATAAAAATGCTGAACAGAATGAGGAAGGCGTTTTAGGACTTCAAAAGGAGACATTAGGAAGGTCACTAATGGCTGTCGTAGAGTCTCTTGTTCTCTTCAAAATAGCTGTCCATACTTTCATGTATATTGAAGTTCAACAGAACAAAACAGGCGGGGGTAGAGAGGTTGCGTGGTTTACCAGTGCTCCAGGTCCCAGCATGGCGAGGGTCCCAGTAAATACCTGTGGCTCCCGTCCAGGGCCACGGAGCCTCTTGTCACTTTCTGAAGCAGTTATGAAAGTCCTCTTTCCTGCTTGTCTTTAGCTGTACTGCTGTGACTGTCTGGATGTCCTGAATTAGTTCACTCTTTACCCTTTGTGGTCGTTTTGACTTTGGGAAAATCCAGAAGTCACACAGTGCCAGGTCCCATGAATAAGGTGGATGAGACTCACTGTGATGTTTTTACGAGCTTACCTTTCTGTTGGATGTCACACAGCAGCAGAATTCTGCATATTTTTGATCGCTTCTCATTGAAAACATTCACAATAGATACTTCTAGGATTGTTCTAGAAAATGGCAAGAGCCACAGGTGTTTTCAAAGTGAGAGGATAGGACCCAAGGCCCCTGAGGTCCCTCTGAAACTCTGGATCTCCTCTTAACTTTTCTTTTCTCGAGTCAGGGTCTTACTGTGTAATGTAGGCTGAACTCACTTGAACTCACTTATATAGCCTGGGCTGGCTTTGAAACCATGGCAATCCTCCTGCCTCAGCCTCCCGAGTACTGGGATTACAGGCATGTGCCACCATCCCTGGTTGATCTTTTGACTTCTAAAATCTTCTTTGCCAGAAGCTATTCTAAAGCTAACCAGTGGGAGTATAACACAAACCTCAGGTACAAGCTATACATATCACTAAAATTTTCTCCTAGTCAAATTAAAAAATAAAAGGAAGCAAGTAAAATTAATTTTTTTTTGAGACAGGGTTTCCCTGTGTAGTCCAAGATAGCCTGGAACCACATATCCCACACTGACATTAAACTCAGGACTCTCTTGCCTCAGGATCTTGTGGTGGGATTATAGGCATGCACCAAGGCATCTAACTCCAAAGTTAATTTTAATAATATATTTTAGTTAGCCTGATATAGCCAAATTATTATCACATTAGTAAGTAATCAGTACAAAAATTATTTTAGAGATTTTTAAATGATGTATTTGGAATCCTGTATTTTACACCCGCAGCAGATCTCAACTCAGACTAGCCACACTTTAGCCATTTGTGGTTATGACGTTGGGCAGCACAGTTGACCTGTCACAGGGAGCCTGGGTGGCAGATCACATCCTCAGCTGTGATCTGGGAGAGACAAGAGCAGGCAGTGTATTCCTCTCCAGCCTCAGGGCATTTCCTTAGAGGCCAGGTCTCTGGCCTCTCATGGTTCTGTATGTGTTACCAAGGACTCCGAGGAGATTCACGCACTTCCATGAGCTCAAAGGAAAAGACAGCTGAGGAGATCGTGTCCTGCTCTCAAGGGGCTCAGCGTTGGGAAAACGACATTCTGTCTGGGCTGGGAGTAAAATCTTTTGACAACAATCTGGAGGGCTGAGGGGTGTGGCTCAGCAGGAGAAGGCTTATCTACCATGCATGAGGCCCTGGGTTCCACCTGAAAAATGAAAAAAAAAAACTTCTGGGATCAAAAATTGCTTATCTTGACTAAGCAAGTCACAGTACTATTTCCAACCTCAGGAAACAGACATCAGCAGCACCATTGGTAGGGAACAGAGAAAGTCCTTCATGACCCCCTTTGGAGGCTAAGATGATAGAGACTCCGGGAGAGGGAAAATGACTCAGGCAAGAACACCTGGGGGCAGTGTGCTCTGTCCTTGACCCTTCCCCTTCCAGATTCATCAGTGTTAGAAGCTGGCTTTGATCCACAGAATGGTAGGAATCTGCACCCAGCAGCAACATTTCAGCCCCCAGACCCTGCAGGGTGATCCTGGGGCCCGCTGAACTATACCAACCAACTCCTGGGCACTGTCGAGAGAGAATCCTCTCTGAAACCAGGCCAAGCCACTTCTCACTTGGGCCTGGATGATGGGCTCTGACCTGGATTTGTGAAGTACCTGCTGGCTCTGCCATTCACTGGCTCTGTGGCCATGAGCAAGTTGCGCAGCCTCTCTGAGTCTCAGACTCTCTGTAGCTTACCCTTTCACCTGGCCTAGCCTGGGGACTCCTTGAGGATAAAACATCAAAATCATGGATCGTGGTCCTTGCCTCTCCCCACACCCCTGGGAGAAGTGTCAGATTATAAATCCTCTCTTTTTAATCCACATTTAATTCTCTTTGAAGGTTCGTTCAGCTAACTCATGATTCCATTCCTTGAGGTAGAAAAAGAATTGCCCGCACAAGAATTGCCCCAGTTCCTGGTTCTCCCTGGCTTGGTGGGCCTTCTTCACTCCAACATTCCCCTCCACAAGGGCAGGTAAAACCTGCAGGCTCGAAGAGGGCTGGTCAGCACCCCCAGTGCCTCAGGATCACATCCGAGCCTCTGCCTTCTCTGTTCATAGTTCAAGGCTAATATTCAGGATGTGCTATCCACTCTGCCCCACCCTGATGACTAATTCCTCCTGCGATGGCTCCGAGTCGAGGTAGATGGTGGGCTGGGGTGAGGTTCCAGGGTATATATACACATACAGGGTATATGTACTGGTGTGTCATGCTGTATAACAAGTAGAGCCAGACTTAGTATCAAATTAGTAGCTACAGGGGATGGTTCCCCAACCCAAGTATATCAAAAGCATAGCAACACACACACACACGCACACAAAGTATAGGTGCTCAGGTGCCTCATAAAATGACATTTGCATGTAACCTACCCACATCCATCCATTTTACATCATCCGAAGATGACTTACGATACCTAATACAATGCAAATGTGATGTGGTTATTATACTGTGTTGCTTAGGAAATAATGACAAGGAAAGTCCACCCATGTTCCATACAGATACAATTTATTTATTCAAATATTTTCAACCCACCACAGCTGTTTGAATGACCAAAGTGGAATCTAAGGATAGAGTCATTGGATTCTAAAACAGAACTGTTCAATTTGACCTGATTTGATTTGATTTGACTAAGACATAGACTCACTATGTAGCTCAGGATGGCCTCAAATTCCTGGCACTCCTCCTGACCACTGGGATTATAAGTGTGCAACACCACACCTGGTCGACAGAGAGGTTTTAAACAGCCAGAAAAATATGTTGTCTCCCAGTTTTCTGTGGCCAGGATGTATGTGGCAGGTTCTGGTGGGCTGTGAGGTTTCAGTTAAGTTGAGAGCCCCCGCTACAGCAGGATAAGGGTCTGATGAAGCTGGGTAGGATCTGCTTCGAAGTCATCTCATATATCTAATGAGTCAGGGCTAGCTGTTAGCAGGAGGCCTCAGTTCCACTTCAGAGGGACTCCCCACAAGACTGCTTAAGTGTCCACACAATATGGCAGCTGGCTCCCTCAGAGGGTAAGAAGAACCATTTCCTGGTCTGTTTATAGGCATTAGTCTCTCCTTCCTGCTC